TCTGTCTCTGGTGAAGCCTCTCACCGCCCCTGAGCCTCTGGCCTGTACCCCAATTCTGTATGTACAAATAAATCTTTAAAAAAAAAAAATTTGCCAAGAGGCCCATCAGCATGCATTGCATAGGCCCACGGTGGTCTTGCCTGGGGGCCTCTTCACACCCCTGCGGTGGACGAGTGCACACCCTGCACTGCAGGGGTGTGGTCTGGGTGTTTTCTGTACTGGCGGGTGCACCTGCCCACATGTGAACCTTCAGCCTTCCTGAGAGCACCTGTGTGAGGGCTTTTTACCAGTATGAGTCCTCAGGTTTTTTCCTCTTCTCAATTTTAAAAGGACAGTTATACTAGCATAAGGAAAACATAAGGAGGCAGCTGCAGTGACAGGTGGGCAGGAGCATCCAGGTGAGCTTTCAGGTATGACACATATAAGCCTGATGACCACAGTGGCGGTGTGTCATTATCCGTAAATGCAGGCTATCCTTCCCCTGGAGCTAACAGGCTGGATGTTTTGCAAACTGACTGGCAAGGTGGCAGGTGAATTTGGACTATGAATTGGATCACGATCGTGGCATGGAGTGGAGGTCAGGCTAGGTTCTGGGACACCTCTGCTGGTCTGATTTCCAGGCTCCGAGCTTGCTGGTGGTGGGATGTTGTAAAGGGCCACGTAACTTCCATTGCAGTCTGCAGATCCGCCGTGTGTCAGGTCCCCCAGGGTGGACGGTGTACACATGTTGAGTGACATGACTGGTGTCTGGTTTGTAGAAACGCTGAAGTGCATGCCACTTCGCTGAGAGGGGACAGCCTCTCACAAAGTTAGGAGTCCTTGGGTTTGCTAGCAGGATGAGGGAGCTGAGGTCAGGCTGGACCTGGCCAGATCCCAGGTAGGAGTGGGGAGGGGGCTCACGGGCAACATGGAGCCCACAGAAGGGTGGGAAGAGAGGCAGGTCTCGAACACACTCCTCTGCTGATGGCTTCAGCAGGGCATCAGCTGCTGCTGACACTGGCAAACTGTGCAAAGGGTGTGCCCTAAAACACCAAAACAGAAGGCTGTGTTAAGGAAGATTCAGATACGCGACACCTCACAATAGTCCACGGAAGCTGGCATTGTAACCTTAAGTCTGTTTCCTGCTGCTTCGCCACCCCCACAATGGGCTGAGAACTGTGCATAGGTGCGAGAGCATGAGAAGGGGGGCCCTTGCCATAGGTTCCCCTCCAAGCCTCCCAAGGGCTCAGTGCAATTCCAATCCCCTCATGCCCATTGTTGTGCAGCCCAGCCTGACTCCCAGTGATGGCACTGGTGTGTGGATCCTCACTCCACACCCTGCCCCCTTCCACACCGCGCTGGGTTGCCGGTTGACCCCGCTGTACAGAGGGATGGGCCCTCAGTATGACTCACTGGGCTCAGTCCTTGTCTCCTCCTGCTCCCGCACCTGGCTGACCATCCCATACAGTGCAGAACAATTAGTTTCGGACAAGGTGGTCTAGTCAGAGAGGAAGGCGGGGCCTACCACCTGGCTGTCACACTGGCTCCTGCCCTCTGGCTAGTTGGGGGCTTCAGCACATCATCACGACTGGAGACATCAATGGCTGGGCTGGGGCTGGAAGTTCTCAGGCCCGATTATTTGGTTGGTTCTCCAGGAAGCCAGTCAGCGTCTGTAGATGACCTAGGTCTTTGATGCATCATCTCGGGAGCATAGCAAACTGCACTGTGGTCATTCTCATCAGGTGTTTCTGAGCTGTGTCACCAACATGGGGTGAGCCCCAAACAGGTGCCTCGTCATCAATCACAGTCGCGGAAGGACAGAGGTGGGGAGTAGGAGACACACAGCACCTGCCGCGCCCCTGCCCGGCACCAGATTCCTGCTGGGGCCTGAGTCCGCGCGCGCCGAGGTCAGGCGCCCAGCTCCTCCCTCCACGCACCTGGTGGCAGGGCAGCGCGGACTCTGCCCGCTGCTCCACCGCGCGAAGTTCACGGGTC